CCAAATTCATAGGTGTATACAATCAAGATGCGTAAGGCAGGGCACAAATCGGACAACAATACAACAGGTATCATGTACAGCAGATGAAGTACAGAGGTGGTATGAGCGGTGCATGGAAATATTACAACACCGATCGGTTGGAATGCCCAGAAACTAAAAAGAAAAACAAAAAGTCTTACACAGGGAGAGGTGTCTAAAAGTCTCAGTGATACAAAGAGGATGAACAATGTTTTTGTGTTTCATTTTTTGTGAATTTTTTTTATTAATAAGTAAAAATTAGAGCTTGTGGAGAGCGTCTCTACCAATGAGGGAATGCGGGTCTGGTAATCATCATATGATATGTGTCAAGCATCTGGTGTCTGTCAACCAGCAGGCCCAACGCAAGGTGAAAGTATGGCGTCTACAGTTAGCCTTGGCGAACAGGAATTCAAAATGTGCATGCGTGTTTAGAATCAATATGACCGTGTTTAAGAAGGAGGGTTCTGATTGTTTCCACGCTCTCGCTAGTGCGAGACGGGCCGCTATGAGGACATGAGATACAACAGTCCTGGAAGCTGGTGGCCACTCTTCCAACCCTACACCTAACAAGTAGGGGTGCGGAAATTAACGATTAATCCGTTGATTAATCGTTAATTTCTTTGATCGATCAAAGTTACTCACCTCTCCGCCGGCTTCCGGGTCTTCCGTCGGAGATCCGGTGACGTCACGGACATCGACGTCACCGGACTCCTCCCCCCTTCCCCGAGTGGCTCTGTCGGCTAACGAAGGGAAGGGGGGAGGAGTCGGGTGATGTAGTTGTCCGTGATGGGTAACGAAGGGAAGGAGGGAGGAGTCCGGTGACGTCACGGACATAGACTCCTCCCCCTTCCCTTCGTTACCTGACGGAATCACTTGGGCTGTTGAGTCTCCTCCTCACTCTTGGGCCGGTGAGTCATAAAGCTCTGGTGAGACCCCCCTCTGTATGTGCATTATATTTAATCGAAATCAGTCGATTAATCGATTAAAAAAAAATTCCATTAATCGAACAGGAAAATGTTAATCATTACCAGCCCTACTAACAAGGCAAGTTGTGGGGAAACGCCACAGGGGAGCTGAGTAATTGTGGAGATAAGCTGAAAAACCTCAGGCCAAAAGGGGCCAAGGTGAAATTGTTGTTTTATAATCTTTGTGGCGAGAGTCTCGGACCCCTAATTAGACTCTCAATCCCCCCCCACCCTCTGTGTCTGTCTTGGTGTCTCTAGAGTTCAAATATGGGTGGGAACCAGTCAGTCCCGACTCCCTTAGAATGTTTGATAAATAAAGGAAGGGATTTTGTAAGGGCTGTCATCTGAAACAGCCCCAGGAGACTGGAAAGTCTATGTGTGAAAGACTGGCCCCGCTATGGGACGCGGTGGCCGGTGGCCCCCACAGTGAACATTTAACTTAGAGACTATTGACAAACTTCAAAAACATGTTATGACAGACTCACAGAAACATGAACAGCCCCCTTCATATGTAGAGGGACGAGCCCCGATGCCCCACTCTGTAGACGGGGGATATCAAGCTCAAGCCATTGCCCCTCCCCAGAAAGATGCCCTCACACATCTGACCCCCATCAATGTCCAATCTTAGTATATATTCTCCCAACTGTGACACTCTCAGTATAAACAAGATACATTCAGATTCAAATGAAAATGGCTGACAAAAGACGTACTAACCTCTATGGAGGACCTTGAGCAACCCCGAGAGTGCAGGACACAATCCTATGAGAGACTGATAACTAATGCTGTGTTTTTTTAGTGAGTCTAAGAACTGAGACGGGAACATTTTACACTGCTGCTAGAAACTTAGAAAAAGGAAAGTGGTTTGCTGTCAGAAGATTTATGAAAGCAGAGAAGGGGCTGCAATAGAGTACTTGGGGAGATTATGTGTCAAAATTGTGGAGAAATCAATGTGCATATTGCAAGAGTGAGGGACACTGGAGGAGAGATTGTCCCCAGAGAGGCCCCGGGAGACAGGGACCGAACCCTATGAGAAGGGAATCATGGGAAGATCAGGTCCAGAACGGACGATATGAGAGGCCCAGACAGGAAGACATGTATGCAGATTTTGTGGGACGGACAGACTCTGTGTAGCCAGATGACGATCTGTACTGAGGCCGACAGGCTTCTTTCTATTAGGCCCCTGGGAGCCCATGGTCACTGCCACAATAGGGGGCCACAGGAGTGATTTTATTGTAGATACTGGGGCTCAACATTCAGTAGTGAACGGACAAAGAAATGACCGTTGTTGGAGCCACAGGGAATAAAGTTAACAGACCCTTTCTGAAGAAAAGACTTTGTAACCTGGGTGGACACCAAGTCCAACATCAGTTCCTATACATGCCAGAGTGTCCCATTCCCTTGTTGGGCAGAGACTTACTTGCTAAACTCAGAGTACATATATATTTCAAATCTGATGGACAGGCTGTCCTACAACTGCCCCATGCCTCTGAGATCCCTATCATGGTCCTCATTATTCCAAAAGAGGAGGAATGAAGAATGTTTACTCTGACGGATGGCCCACTCCCTTTCCCAGCAGGACTGGCCAGACACATCCCACCAATCTTTATTGAGCTCAGACTAGGAGCTACCCCAGTCACTCTGAAACAGTATCCAGCCCCCCGCAAAGCCCTAGCGGGAATCCAAGGGTACTTGGGGAGGCGGGCTACAAGGTATCCAGGAAAAGGCTCAAATATGCCAAGAGACTGTAAAATACCTGGGGTTCAGAGTATCACAAGGCCAGAGACAGTTTGGAGAGGGCAGGAAAGAAGCTGTGTTCCAGATCCCCATCCCAACCACCAGACGCAAAGTGTGTGAGTTCCTGGGAGCAGCAGGATTCTGCCGGATTTGGATACCAGACTTTGCCACCAAAGCCAGGCCCCTCTAAATCCACAAAGGGGGGGAGCGAGAGAGAACCATTTCTATGGGAGGAACAACAAGACCCAGCCTTCCGAGACACTAAGACTGCCTTGATGCAGGCCCCTGTTCTGGACTTACCAGACAATCAGAAGTCCTTTTACCTGTATGCCAGTGAAAAGCGGGGAATAGCAGTAGGAGTCTTGACGCAGTAAATGGGATTGTGGTAACGCCCTGTAGCATACCTCTCAAAACAGCTGGATACTGTAGCTC